TATTTACAATGACACAACACAGGGGCTATTTATATGGCCTGTGAACATGCTGGGCAATATACAGCAGAGCCATCTCACCGGCACTACAGTCCACTTTTATAGGTTTTTCCATCACTTTTCTTTGCATCCTTTATGTTAATAGTAACGCTAAGCATGTAGCAGTTATGCCTGTTTGGTTGACTGAGTGTAACTGATATAGTAATAGGTCTTGTATGACTGACTGTCCTTTACCTTTGGTGGAGTCATGGGTGATTTGAATTAGAGCAACCCGGTGCCAGTATTCTTTGAGTTTGCTTGAATACAAGTTTTACTACAATCAAACCTGCATCAAATAGTTGTTTGTGGCTCCTTTGCCAGCCATGGGGTTCAGTGCATCGGCTGTGTTCTTCTTCAAGATTGAGCATACGGTTTACTGACGGTACCTCAGAATGGGATTTCAACAGCAATGCAGTGAAAATGATACACTTTAGATAACATTTTCTTAGCCTTTTTATTGTCCACTAAATTTACCATTTGGTGGATTGATGGTTATTTTCTTTGGAAATGTTCTTCGATGGAGTGAGACGCTGCTGGGCAGCTATATAAGCAGAAGGGCTCAACGTGTGGAGCTGACAGGACCCTAATCTCTCCCAGCCAATGCATTTATCGTCTGGTGATTGATGGTGGAGGAGATGCAGCTCTGAGCCCAGCGTTGGGAGATTTTCACTCCAATATTCCAGCCTATTCCAGCACAAGCAAGGTGGAGCCAAGCCAGAGAAACGGGATTCTACACTCACTGCAGTAGCTTCCAGATAGTAAAGGATGAACAAAAATAAAAAGTTCATAACACTTTATTTAAAGCAGTCATCATAATGCATTACACATACCTTCATAGTGCATTATAATGCATTTTCAAAGCATTATAAACATAGCTATAAATATTTATAAAAAGGCATAAGACATTATAGCCACCCATAATGCATTACAATGGTCAGTATAAGTCATATGCCTTTTTATAAATTGCTATAGCCCTGTGTATAATATTTTATGAATACATTATAATGCATTAGAATGGTATCTATAATGCATTATGATGACTGAGGGTGCTTTACGTAAAGTGTCCAAAGTTCTGCCGTCAGTGTGATGTTTACTCTGTTTTAAAACATTCCCCAGAAAAAAATCAATGAAAGAAACAGACACATATAGCAGCCATGTCTTATTTACAAGACTTTCCTCACTTTTCGAAACATTCTATCTATCTTCCACCTATTGAATGTGCAAGACATCACAAAAAACAATTATGTAACATGCATCTGATACAGTAATAACAGTGATACTATTTCTAGTTTATTACAGTTGTAGTATGATGACAGGAAAGTCAGGATAATAGTTTCATTTAAAATTATTGTAAAGTAATAATGCAGAAATACTTAAATACTTGTTCATTTTCACCAGTACAAACCTTTCATTTCAACAGTTAGTATAAATATAATTATGCGCAAACTTTTGAGTGTTTGGCCTCTGTTTAAGATTTATAGTAAACTACATTAAAACCTTCAGAGCATAGCTAGCAGATAAATATATAACCCTTTGGCAGGTGGCTTCTCCTGTTTTCTGTATTCCTAAGACTGAGTCACACATTGATGGAAGATTGCCATCTTCGTAGGGGCTCTTTAATAGGTTGGGAGTCATCCGTGAGTCTAATCCTGCGCTGGAATTAAAGCCTGGCTTGGTGTGATAATCCTTGATTACTGCCATTTTGCACGAACTCACCTACTTGTTCTGTACTGCTGCTCTCAACTTGAATTGTCATGTTGTTCTGGCCGCAATCTCATTTTTAATTTTGGCGTGAAAAGCTGCTTATCTGTATATTAGCGTGACTGCAGATGCAGCTGAAAGTAAAGCCCTTCAGCTGCTTAGGTCATGAAGATGGCACTGCTGTTCATCTTGCTCCATGATTCTGTCCATTTTTGGTGAGGAGGAAAATTGAGAAAGCAAGCTCATACCCCCGTTTACCCCTCAAGCCTCTGTAATGACACCTCCTTCCCAAAGGACCTGATAAACGTTCAATATGATGCAGCTGACCTTTCTGGGACCCTTATGAGACGAGCGTTTCGAAAGAGTCTCTGCACTGGTCATAATTAACAAAGCTCACACGAATCCATCCGTCACTCGCGAATGACTGTCACCAAGGAGTGTCACTGCCATTTTAATGTCGTGATTACTTTTTAATTAATGATATATGCAAATACTTTATGTCACTTTTCTTAGAGATCACAGCTTTCTGATTTTATGCCTGGTTTCACAAAAATCATTTCAGGGCATTCCTCAATGCACTTACACGCTCGAATTTAAGATGCCCTTGTGTTCTACATCGGAGGCTGCTTTGACAAATTGGATGTTAGCCTGTGTAATTCAATTTCCTTTACGCTCATCTGTCCTGTTGATGAAAATGTCTGCTGTTCCATTTCTTTTTCTTAACCACAGTGTTTCTAAAGAATAATGGTCAACGTAAGAGAGTGAGCGTGGGCAGTTGGGATGGCTTATTTGTTCGGTGAGGACTGTTAACACGCCCAGCATCAGAAGTAGGTAAGGGGTGTAAACTTCAAAGAGGTGCTATTCTTTATTTAACTGTGCATTTGATCGACCAATGAGTTTGCCTCTTACAGAATGACCAATGATCTTGCCTCTTACAGAACAAAGGCCTGCATACAATTTGTTTTCATATCTTCGTTGGGATTCAAAATGAATATACTTTTGAAATTAGTTTTTTTGCACCAAACCAGTAGTATTTGTGTAGTTCTTAATTTATTGAGATCACAAAAGCGTAGGAATCTGGACATCCTTTTCATGCCCCCTATTTTTATATGAAAGTGTTTCCCTTAGGTTATGTGCAAATGTAGCAAAAACATTTTCATGGTTCTTCACTGTAAATGTGAATGGGCCTTTGATAGGCAAGCATTAAAGAAAAAGAAGAGAGATGTAAAATTGGAGGGTGTTTCAGTCTGCAGATAGAAGTGCTGTGCAGACCGCCAAAGGCGCGTTTGAAAGAGGAGAGGAGCCAGCAGAGCACGATTGACTGAGACCGAAAATGGCGAAACGTTTCCTGTCATTTTCTGTAGCTGGATGAACAGCACAGCTGGAATCCACAATTGAGTCATTCATCTATCAATCCATCTATCATCTAACCATTTACCCTTATTTGGGTCGAAGGAGGCCTGGAGCTTATCTCATGTGACACAGGGCACAGGGTTTGGGTGCACGCTGTCCAGGACGTGGTAGGAAATAACAATTTGAACAGTCATGCTTCTCTCTCTCCTTTGATCTTTCTTCTGGCTTCAAAATTGGAACTGATTCTGAGGACAGGTCTTACCTTGCTGAGGTGGTCAGGGGTGGGGGGGGGGGACACATAGCATAAATCACTGCAGCTGTTGCTGATATTCACACTTATTTCTGTACCTGGGGGGTGGGAGGGGACACATAGCATAAATTGTGATGCAGTGGACGGAATGTGTGGTGTGATTGGACACCGCACAGCAGTTCACCCTATCAAGAGCCAATTAAACTATATTTACAGACTCATACAAGACACATCCGCACCTTGAAAGCATGTGATCTGCTCTACACTTACTATGTATTTGTACTGTAGGCCTCAGTTCCACCTCGCTACATGTTCTACTCCATCTGTGTATCCATCTTATATTTGCTAATCTTGAACAGGAATGTTCTTGACAGTGCACAAGACATGCTTCCTATTGGAGTGGTAATTAACAGAAAAGCAATTAGAGCAGCAGTGCTCTTTTAATTAGAATCTGGACGGGGCCTGATTATCCTGCCGTACTACAAACATGTGCGCCGTAATTTGGAAAACAGCCAAGGCATCGGAAATAAGCAGTCCGTCAACAAACAAGGTGCTTACCAATGGGATACTTGAAAACAATACCTTTTGCTCACTTAACTGGGGATGCAATGACAGGGTGATTTCGTGCTTTTGAACTCTGGTGGCTTTTAAATGATGCTTTCCGACTCTTTGAGCCTAACCTCCTCGTGTCCTGTGAGGACTCAGGAATCACAGCTGATTTTCAAAGTAGCACAATCACTCAACTAGTGCTTTTGAAAAATGCCGTGCGTTTTATTTTGAGTTCATGCTCATTCAAAACACAGACAAAAACAAACCTCTTCTTCCCTTGCTTGACCAATCCAATGAACAGCCTTCCACTCATGTGGAAGACATAGACAGGTCACCTGACCATAACTCTGCCTGCTGATTACCGAGTAGAGAAATGACACAGCAGGCCTGAAAAATGCCTGTGGGTCTTACAATCACATAACAATCTCTATGCTTTCTGCCACGGGTTTGCTGAAAGGCATGTAGTGTGAGTAGAACCCCATTTCTCCAGTGTCTATAGCACTCACTGTGATTTCAAAAGTACTGTTTTCATCCCTTTGTGGGCGTAATTATGACGTGCTTGACATTCTATTATGTAGCTTTCGCCGTTCAGATTGAACTGACTCAATAGGTGCCAGGAACATATTTTTTTTTGTACAGCATTGAGAACAACGCAGGTCCAAGAAGAGTCAGGTTGCTCTAGCAGACGATCTTCTGTGATGTTGTTGGACAACGGTAAAAAAAAATTAAATATTGTGTCGTTCATTTTTCGGAGATGTCACATGGGAGATTAAGAATAAGAATACCAGAGCCCCCCCCCCACTCTAACCCCACCAGCTCAGGGCCAAACACAATATATAATGCAGAAAAGGCGCTGAGTGGACACTTTTGGCCTGGCTGTACTTTATTGATTTTCGCAGCGTCATCTACCACAGAGTTTCTGTGCCCTTGGCCACAATGAGCAGCTGGACTCTGGAAAGTCCGAGCGGGCCAACTGGGGCATTGTAAAAGGGGGGGGTGGGATATTTGTTGGCGGGGGGTGCGGCGAGCAGCGCTCAGTGTGGCCCGCAGCAGCGCAGGACGAACACCCTGGCTATCAGGCTCTAAGAGCACTGGGGAGACACCAAGCAAGATGTACATGACCAGCTACCGACGCAAAGTGTGTAAGGAACAGTATGAGCGCTCTGACGTCTTTGAAGACCCAGAAGATCCCCAGGTTCTACTTCCGGAACATTCCAGGGGCCCAGGTCTGGCAGGCATCCCCGTCCAAGGCATGGAGAACCTGCAGGGACTGAATGAGCGTTTCGCCAGATACATCGGGCGGGCGCGCATGCTGGAGCAGCGCAACACCGTCTTCCGCAAGCAGCTGGAGATGCTGCAGCACATGGAGGAGGTGTCGGGCCTGGGGGAGGCCTTCAGCGAGCAGATCAGCCTGCACCGGCAACGCCTCCGTGAGCTGTTCTCCGAGCGAGCCAGGCTGGACCGGGAGAGGGACGAGGCCGAACGCAAGCTGGATGACTTCAGCAACAGGTGAGCAGTAGCGGGTTTAGATGCTCAGTTTAGCTATGGTTATGGGATAGTTCATCTTTGTGCAGTCTGAGGCCAAACATAGATCATGCTTTGTCATGCAGCTCCCTTATAAAGCAGACATCCTCGATTCCCTGTGGTAATTGCAGAATGTTGCTCTGGCTTTTCCCCCATCCATGCTGTCCGGATAAGTGCTTGGTTGTACAGAATAATATATGTAACCAGATATTACAAATACATCACAGGTTTTTGGCAGAGGTGGGGCTGTGTTACTCAGCAAGCTAAAATCTGCTTGAAGAACTCTGACAGGAGGAACCTATGAATACAGGGTGACTTACCATGTTTCACCACACATCCATCTGGTTTTACTCTGTGCCCCCCCCCCCCCCCCCCCCCCCCCCCCACCACCACCCAGGTACAGAAATGAGTGTGAATGCCAACAACACCAACGGGGCGTCCTTGAGCACCTCAACAAGGTAAGACTGGAGACATCTTTGAACAGATTTCGGTGTGATGGGGCTGCTGTCACGGCAGTCTGCCACGGCAGTCTGTCACGGCAGTCGCTCATCATGGGCAGGTGGTCACTGAGTCTGAGTGTCATCGAGGCCTGGCTGTGACTGGGGCCACCTGTCAGTGGGGGTAATGCAAGGCTGGACAGTCACCCTAGCAGTCTGTCACCGGGCCGGACATCTGGGCAAAGTAATAGAGGCAGTGGTGACTGGGGGTGGTTCTCCGCAGGCCAACCTGTCACCCAGACACAGAGAGATGAAGAGGGGGCTTCTTCAAACATTAAATGAATAGATGTACTTTCTGCAGGAGTGACAGAAAGACAGATTTGAAACTGAAATTAAGTGAAGAAATCGGCTTCAGTGCGGAGACAGATTTGCAGGATCATCAAAGACCTGCGGGGCAGATGAAGAGCCGACACACCTGTGGCATCGCCAATCTCTGACTCCGCGCCTGAAGCACCTTTGTGTTGATCCCCCCCCCCTCCCTCCCAGGAGGCTGACGCAGCTCTCTTGGGGAACCTTGAGTACCAGGTACAATCCCAGTTCCTGCAGGACGACATTAACTCAACCAGAGACAGAAACAAAAAGGTAAGATGTCAGTCAGAAATGTCCCCTTTCTGGCCTTGCAGATACGACACATCATTGATGTTTATGACTGTTGTCATAATGTGTCATTCAGTTCCAAAAACCGAATGACACATTATGACAACAGTCATAAACATCAATAATGTGTCATTAATGTGCATGAGATGTGTCATGTCATTCTTACGTCATTCTTATGACGGTTACATGTCACCCATATGTAGACTGCTTCATGTAAAGTGTTGCCCTCCAAACTAGTCACGCCCACCCTAAAAGGGAGTGTAACCAGTAGCTATATTCAGCTTGTGCCAAGGGTTTGTAAAATGGATCATTTAAGACAAGTTTTATCACTCAAAGCAACAATAGACTGCAGTGGCATTTATTTAATTAAGGAGTTTAATCAATGAAAGTGAATTGTTTTGAATGGCTCTCGAGCCATATAAACACCAATGACTATTTTTATCATGTCTGTTTTCAACTAAATATAAATATAAGATTACCTTATTGCTAAATTTTATTACATTTCTGCGCAGTACCGGTCAACCCATTTATAACATAGGAGGCCACCATCTTCTGGGGGGGGGGGGCTTGTTAACTTAGCGAGCCAGTGCTCTCCTTTCCCCTCGTGCTGGGGGGATGGTGAAGCTTGTCTGAAGGTCTCCACATGGGCTCCGACCAGCACCGTTACTGCATTCAGATTGAGTCCCTATATCAGGTGTCAACCGTAAGGACTCTCATGGAACATTCCAGCATAGTGGCAGAGAGACAGAGCGCCACATGGTTATAAAATGGCCCCGGCTTGCCAGCGCCCATGGGGGAACGTTCCACAAGTGCCTGTGTTTCACACAGCCAACAAAAAACTTTGAGGGAACTATGCTGAAATGGAATTGGACGTGACCCTGCATTGTGGCATTTCAAAGGAGCACAATGCAGACTCTCCATTACAAAACCAATTTGTCAGACAGGGGGGGAAGAACTCATGAACCCAGAGAGGGTATTAAAAGGAACGAATCAGAAACAAACCATACCAATCATTGCTCTGTGCCCCATGCAACAGAAAGGGTACTAAAATGCTTAATAACATACTTAGGAAAAGCATGGAACGTTTTCTGCTGGTCAACAAATTGCTGAACATCGTAGTTTTATAGGGTTTCTGCTTTATATTAACACCCATTACTTGCTCAAGTCACGAATGGCTGAACTGTTAACTACACTGAATATAATTGCCCAACAGGGTATGAAATTGATTGCATTTTTGAACAATATTTTAAAAGTCTGACAACACATGACTGGCTTGTCAATAGCAGTACAGTATGTGAATCAATCAGGTAGGGATTTTATGCAAATCAATGATATTTGGAAAAACTGCAAAGATTAGACCAAATAAGAGGACCCTTACACATGATGCCACATTTTAATTGACCCAGTGGTTGATTGATCCATTTTCTTTGACCCTACAGAACCTGGCAGAGATCCAGACTTATGTAAAAATTCTAAACCAGATCACCCAGGTGCCCCAGCAATTACACAGTGATTCCCAGAAGCCGTCTGAGGTGAGGCGTCCCTTATGCCTCGACACAAAACTACCCTGCATTTCGTCTGACACGATAGAGAAGGATTTGGGCAGCCCGGACAAGTATTTCCAAAAATACTCCCATGTAGGCCATTATACTTGTCAGTGGTCAAATTTACTTGGTTATTTAACAGCAAATTCGCCCTCAATTCAATTGCAAAAATGGCAGAAAGAGGTTCTTCTAACAGCACACATGCTGCTTTGGTGCTTCTATTTATCTTCCAGTGCCAGATATTATCACAGAAACAACTGTTTGCAAGTGAAACGCCACCCACAGAACCACCGACTCAGTGTTGTGGTCGTTTTTGGCCTGTTAATCGCTGAGTGAGGCTATACTGTAACTGGTGCACATATGAGACCTGGGGTTGGACCCCTTTCCTCTGTGTGGTCTTTCCGGTCCTGGAGCAGGAGCGGCCATTTGGCCAGAGCTGCGTTCCCTCGCTGCAGAGTCAGCTAGATGAGTACAAGACTGCCCTCTGCCAGCTGGAACCTGAGAAGCAATGGCTGCAGGATGAGGTGCGTAGCCACGGCAACCAGAACTGAATCGCTCCCTGCTGCCCCCTATAGGCACACATTCACGCAATTGTCATCCACCTGTAATTCCAGGAAGTGCTCATTCCTAATAGTGTTTAAAATATATGTTTTACATGTACGGTGGGTGCCGATTTTCAAACTAATCCTTAACATCGATATATTTTCAGTTTCTTTCAGCTCACCTACTCCTAGGTTGTGGAATAGGAAATAACCAATAAAATAGCCTTATCAAAATATTCTGCAAACTGTTGGTACTTTAGTTTAATGGCAGGATATGAAGTCCTTGAAATGGGCCATTGACTGCACCAGTCTTGATTTTTGTTTACATACTGAGCACAGTCAGTTGGTAGTAAGACTTGAGTTATCGTCATAAAAGGGGCACCCAGTGCTGCCCAGACGAGACGCTCGTTTCCTTTTCAGACTTCAGCGCTTGAGCAGGCGGTGAAGACCACGCAGGAGAGCTACGACGAGGAGATCCGGCTGTTTGGCGAGCGGATCGAGGCGTTACGGAAAGAGATCGAGGAGGCCGAGCGCTCGCTGGAGAAGTACACCAATAAGTGCCGCCACCTGGCCATGTACCAGACGTCCCTGGAGAACAAGCTGGAATGCTACAGGACAATCATCGAGAATGAAGACACAAGGTACCAGCACCTTCCAGGAACATGATTTAGCTATGGATTTTCTTCATATCATTTCTTTAAACTAATTAAATAAATAGTCATGTTATATTTAGGGATCAACTTACCTTTCGTATCAGGAAGTCAATGTAAATCAGTTAGTTACTAATGGGTAACTGTGACTGTGTAGCCACCCATTATGGAAGTTAACCTGTCCTGGTAGTCAGATCATTTTCTGTGACTAGCCACTAGATGGCAGTGTTTCCCTACAACTGGGGTTGTATACGTTTGAGACAGTACAAACAGGGATGAGGAAATTTTATGCAGAATTTTCTTTAGCCTGGTAGGGCTGCTGAACATCAGTGAGGCATACAAAGACACTGGGACAGTGCATGGTGCAAGAGATTGCCCACGAATCACTTTACTCCATTGCTTGTAGGCTGAATTCAGTGATTGTTGAGACCCCCATCGCCCTGCTCAGAGGTGAGGGAACAATTATTGGTTCTGTATGTGCCCCCGCAGGCTTAAAACCTTGAATAAACCTTTTGGCAATGGGCACAAGTAACTCTAACCAGCTAAATACTAAAGTCAGAAAGCAGTAAAAACAAAAAACATGTTTTGACAAGAAGGTGACATTGTTAGTATAGTGCCATCACCCCCATCAGCTTCATTCACTCTACTGACACCTATATTCCTGTATTGATCAAGTTGATATCTTACATTTTTACCTATTTATGCAGCAGGATACAGCCAATGTGAGTGTAATTTGTTACATTTCATCACCCTGTCACCTCCAACTTGTGAGTGCCTTCAGAAATGGGGCTGTCTGCAGATACGCATCCGTTACCTTGTAAATAAAAGTAATTCTGAAGTTTTGTTTTATGCCATCCGTGCATTTAATTTTGGAATATGGTCAGTCTGCACAGAACATGGTGTCTGACTGTAATTATCTGTCCACATTAAGTTTTACACTTCGAAGAGGATTTTTTTTTGTATATTTTTGTACTTGAAATTGTATATATATTCTTTCTGTGTCATGCCTTTAGTTTTTCAGCTTTATACTGGTTGTTTAATTTCCTTTATAGAATATCTCTTTCCATCACATACTGGCCTGACCTCATTGTAGTTTATTAAACATGGGCCACGATTTTTCTTTTGGATATGAGACATTGTGTTGTCCTCTCTTTGCAGACATCACTCAGGCTGTGCAGGACATCACCAATGTCAAACCTCGCCAGAAGAACCTGGCCAAGAAAGTGCTGAAGATGCAGGAAATCAGCCCCAAGAACGTGAGGAACAGCGAAGTAGAGGAGAAGGCTGGAGTGGAGCTGGAGGATGTGGCAGAAGACAGCGAGGAACGAGTCACGGGTGTGGGACAGCCGTTCATGTCCCCGACTGAGGATGTCCCCGATGGAACCCAGATCAGCAAGGCCATCGACACACTGTGCAACATCATTCAGGAGCGCATGCATCAGCACAGAAGGCAGGAGCCAATCGCCGACTTCTACACCAAGGGCCACTACGTGCTGGTTTCAGGAGAGTCCAGCTACATGGATCCAAGATTTTGTTCCTCCTCCTCGTCCGGGGGACACGTGTTTGTCAGCATCTGTGATGGCAGAATGTTCCCTAACCACAGGGAGAAGACACCCATCCCCATTCCTGCCCCCGTGTCCCCGACCTGCCCCGAGGATGGAGAGAAAGTTCAGGGTAGTGCCAGGCGGCAGAGTGACCATGAGGACAATGGCGTGGAGACCAATGAGAAAGGGGACCTTGGAGAAAAGTACAGTACAGGGGCTCCCAGCCAAGACCAAAGCACCCCAGGAACAAGACCCCAGATAAGAGTAGCTGCCACAGGGGGCATGACACCACTGAGACCTGGAACACCCCTCCATCTGTCCCATCCATGAGCTACGAAAAGGTGGAGGTGGTTGAGTCTGTGGAGAAGATCTCCAGGGACAACAAAGTTAGTGATTACGAGGAGACGGCCACCATCGTGGAGACCACCATGGAGAAGACCAGCAAGAAGAAGCCCACGGGCTAGTCGCCTTGAACCTCCCAACTGGCAGAGTCCTGCTGCTTTTGTACGCCGTGCCTTTAATGTTTGAAAACTTGGGAGAGAGAGTTCCCACAGAAACAAACCATTAAAATAAGAACGCGCAGAACCTGAAGCGTTGAAAGTGAATGCGAGCCAAGTAAGGGCTGCTCTCGGGGATGTTAACTCATCGGGGTCCCTGCCTCCCCCCAAAGTAATCGCACAACTATTGATTTTGCATATATAGTTTTTAATATCACTTCAATTGGCTGCCAGCTATTGCCCTGTCTAAACATATGTACGCTAATTGATTTCCTAATAAAACAATCATCCTTCAGAGAACGCCTGGTCCTTTTCTACCCAATGCCTAAGCGTAAAAATAAACTCATCAGTATATATGTTGTATTTGTCATTTAATTTACATGTGGATTGTTTGGGAATTCTCTCTTTTATAGATTAGTTCTAACGCCTTTTTAATGCTAAACATTTTGCATTACATAATGATAAAAGATACACATAAAAACAAGAAAAATGTTTTTTTTTTTCCACACAAAGTGATTTTCATAGGTGCTAAGATGCATTATTCATCAGTGCCGTGGAGAATTCCTGGATGTGAATGGATGTAGGCCACATTTTTGAAATCAGATGTCCACGCACGAATCACAGACTCAGATGTTCGATCTTCTGGGTAACACAGTGAGGGCTGTTCTTAGAGGATGTAGGAAAAAAACTCACAGATACCTGTTTCAAAAATACTGCTGTAAAAATCTAAGGAGGTGCCTTTTTCCCAGTCTGTATTTCATATGCTTCAAACATTGTTAGCAATGAAATACTGGTGGATCTTTCCTTCACTTCCTGCTGTAGGAGGATCTTATTTGCTCGATAGTTAGTGAAGGGATCTTTACAGGAGACAAACCATAGCCAGGATTGGACAGAGACAGCAGGACAGACGAGCGCAGCCAATCAGGACTCTGGTCACAGTGGTGGGTGTGACACACAGCTGATCTGTACCAATCGGGTGCAGAATACTCGTAAACAAATACAGCCCATTTCTAAGTAAGAAATGTAGGCAGCTCTGTATGCAGAACAACACATGATCAGTTAAATATTTGTGAGTCTGAAAAATGTCAACAATAAAAAAATAATTTTTAAGGTAAATAATCAATCGCCAGAGTCACCGGTCTGGTGCTTCTTCCAAAAATGAAATTAGAAATCTAAATAATTTGGTAATTAACAATGTGATGTCAAGCCTGTTTCAATTGGTCAAGTGCTTTAGCAAAAAAAAAAAAAAAAAACCTCAGTACATTTATTCTTTTATACGTAGAAGGAAATAAATATTTTAAAATACTCTCGGAGACCACAGGCGGCAAAACTGATGACACATTCCTTTCCATTTTTTTATATAAACAACATTTGTCACAAAAATATAATGGAAAGAAACTGCTCTGTTTGCAAGATATTAAACTTTAAGTCGAATCACACAGAAAATCATTTACAGTCACAAACTGTACAGTGGGGACTTCATTTCAGAAGAACCAGGGTAGCTAATACATACAACATAATATAGTATATATATTCTACATATATATAAGGCAAAGTGTAAAAAAAAAAAAAACAGAAAACAGAAGTATTTTCTCCCTTTATAACAGATCGTTTGGAAATGACACATTGTTTTAATCTGGTTACAGGAAACATTCATGGAAGGAGAGCTAATTAACACAGAAAAGAGCTCAAAGTTGCAGGCTTTGGGGGTGGGATTAGAGTGGGTGGGGTTTTGTAGAGGCGGGGCTGGATTGTGATTGGATAGGAAGGGAAGAGGCGGGGCAACATGCAAATTGCTAGTTTTTACTCAGCAGGCTTTTGAGGCTCTTCTCCACTGCCTCGTCCAGTTCTTCCTCTAGTTCCTCCTTTTTGGACATGGCCAGTTTGGACTGGTAGTCGCGGACGATCTGATCGATGTAGGGCGCGCTCTGCGTCCCATGCAGCATCAGAGTCCACTCCTTCAGGACGCCCCTCTGGGGGACCTCGCCCTGGAAGCCTACCTCCAGCAGCCAGGTCCCCCGGGGGTCCTCGCCCCAGGTGTGGGTAGTCATGAAGGGCCACTTGTCGAAGCCCACCTTGGTGTCGTCGTCACGGGGCCTCCGGCTCAGCAGGATGGACTTGGTGCCCATGGGCGAGGTCATGTTGATGTTGAGGTCACCGCGCCTGCTGGCATTCACCGTCACCACGGCCTGCACGTGTTCCAGGTAGCGGACGAAGTTGTCCTTCCCCTGGCAGGCGTCGGTGTCGATGGCCAACAGGAGCTTGCTGCTGGAGTGGAACGAGCTGCAGGAGGATGGGGAAAGAGGACCGTCACACCGTCGCGTCACGACATCACGGCTTCCCGCTCGTCACCTCAGCCTCCCGCTCAGATAGTCTAAACAGACTCGGAAACTGCAAACAGCGACAGTTTGCACAAACTGCTGTATCTATCACGTAGTTTTCACTCCTCTCCGTTGCGTATCTCATGTCTTGTATTTACTTTCTGTTTCGTTGTGCCCTGTTAGTTGTCTATTGTCATGGCGTCCCCAGTAGCAACAAGCTGTGCCAACAGAAATTTCCACCCCACCAGACTGGATGTGTTTGAGATGAAATTTTACAGGACAATATTGCAACTGGCGAGGAAAAACATTTTTTTTCAGTCCACATTTTTGCTCACTTCCAGCACGCAGCCAATCTACAACGTTGACTACTGGTATATGAGTGTTGGAAGGTGGGAGGGAGCAAAAATGTGGTCTGAGGACTGTAATGGGAAACAGGGATGCAAGCCTGTTTGTTACGTTGTGCAGCCAAGGAACAGGCGAACCCCGTAATGCAGGAGACAGGTTTATTCGGAAAGCCGGGTACAATCAGAGCCAAAGGGAGAATCCAAACGGGTAGTCGTAAAACGGGCCGATGTCGATAACCAGGAGAGTCAGTCCTACACGGAGAGACGGGACGGGGAAATGACGAAGGAAGCGGGGTTGGATCGTCAGGGCAGAAGGGCAGGTCGGACGGGATCGGGCAGGTCGAAGAGGGACGAGAAGCAGGCAGGGTAGATGAAACAGCAGGGCAGGACACAGCAGGTAGGATGAACAGGGGAAACAAGAGACGGTCAAAACGCTTAGTAAGGCACATTCAAAAAAATGGCAACAATACCTCGCAACTTCCAGGAAGTTGCGATTGGCTTAAGTAGGTAACGGATCGTCCTGCTGATTAAGCGGCGATTGTCTACCATTGTGTCGCCCTGCCCCTGTGGGCGTGACACAGTTTGTGGTTCTTCGGGTATTAAATGTACTGTCGAATTTTCCCTGGAGCTGTCAGAGTAAACACCAGTAATGTCATCTTTAATGAGTGAGCCAGCAATGTGCAGCATTACCATCCGATAGATACAGTGGCAAAAGGTGTTTGCTGGGCAAAAATAATTACAAGACCCTGAAATATGAGACTGGATGCCTGGCGCTAGTCCTTTAGCAGTAAGAACAGGACAATTTCATGCCAATTTCTTATATCTAACACAATTTTTTCTTCAAAAGCAATGTAATTCTCATCGGTGTCTCTTTGGCTCTGTCGAGGCAGACTCATGAGTATTTTATGATCACAGGAGAATTCCATTTGAATAGCTAAAACTGACGTTTTTATTGCCATAATTTGTTTTATTTTTTTTCCTACTTGGGCAGAGGATCTTATATTCGGCCTTGAAGGCAGAACAATTTGTGACCCGGAAAAAATGCATTAAAAAAAAAAAGAAAAGGCAAAATGGAACGTTGGGGTGCAGCAAAATGGGAGGGAATTTTACAAATGCATGTAATTAGCGGGAATTGCGGAAACCCCCCGTGAGCAGTTTAGCCAAGTCCATGACGTCAGGCCCGGTGCCGGTGCCGGTGCCCGTCTCTTCACCCTGCCACAACATCACGTGGCGTCAGAAACACGGCCGAGCTGTAGAATTAACGAGAGGAATCGCAAGTGCCATCCCTGTACGCCTGTTTCTGTGGAAAATGTCACGGGATCGCCGTGTACCGGGGCTGTCAGAGAGACGGGCACGTCTGATGATTCTGGCATCAAAAAACCGGCAGGGGTGGGGTGGGG